GGATTTTATTTACTGTTAACTTGGGGGTAACCTTGCACCAACCGTCACGTGGGAATTCATTTTTCGTATCGTTCTTTCTTTTGATTACAAAATGAGGTCAATATTTTTAAATTTGTACCAATGAGGATGCTTGATACAAATATTTTTTAAAAGAATTCAAACATTTTTAACTCAACAACTTTTTTTAACTGAACTTTAACTCAATCTAGATAACTTATGATTTTGAATCTTCCTTATTGAAATTATCGGATACACTTGTCGGTTAGTATCGCGATTGACATACGTTATATTTACATGTAGTTTGAGTGATTGATTGATATGTTTAGTCGTGTCTATTGTTGGACCGTGCACCGTTTTGTTTTATTTATGAATCTATGATAGAGAAATTATTTGGCATTAGTTTTTTAATGAATATACCCAAAAAAATGTTAAAAATGGATTCGAGATTAGAAACGGTGAAGATAATATGCACAAGAGGTCATACGACTCGTGTGATGTTGTCCATAAGCCACACGAGTCATGTTGCAAAGAAAAAAATAAGAGAATTTAGCTACGGATTTTTCACACTACTCGTGTGATGTGTGACAATAAATTACACGAGTCGTGTGAAAAGGTTGCAAGATTTGAAGATCCACACGACTCATGTGTGTATGACCATTAAGTATTAACTCAATTCTGCACTAAGTTAACACGATGGCTAGAATTGTAATTGTGTAGCAATGTATAAAGTTAGTTGGTTAGGAAGAAGATCCTATCGTGTCAATCCAATCTACACGTTGACTATCTAAATTAAAGAGTTGTGAATGGATGTCCAAAATTTATTTAAATATTGACTTTCGCCTTATTCATTATTCGTTTTCCCCAAGATATCAGTTATAAACCGAATAACCTTGCAAATTCAACAAAAATGAGGACAAATCTTTCTTATCCAAGTCATACCTCAGTTTGAATTCCCACCTTGCACGTTGACGTTCAAATTCCACCGAGCAAAATGTTGACGTGGCAATATGAAGCATACTGGAANAAAAAGGGTGTTCAAGACAAAAATTAGGAAGTTTTGGCTGCTCAATTTGCATTTTATTCATAATTTTCCAAACTCAAACCGTGCGCGCATGGAACTCTACGTATCATTTGGTTTAGATACCATAAAAGTTGCATTCGAACAAGCATTGAATTACACTTAAAATGGTCAACTTTAACTTTCATTTGATTTCCTCTTCTTGCTTGTTTGGCAGAGTACTAATGTTTTGGACAATTCATCATAAATACGTAATTAATTTATATATTTATAATTCGTGTTTTTATTAGCACAATTGAAACAGTTATAGTTTGACACATAAGTTAAAAGTAGCCAAATCAGAAATTACAGGTAGTGAGCATCCAATTATTAGAGCCCGCCCCGTCAATGTTTAGCCACTAATTAAAAACATTTAGCTGACTATTTGATACTGTTATACGTGATCTACCCACACTTTGCTTCTTTCCTATTTTCCTAAAATCAAATACAGTCCGTTTTTTTATTTATATTATTAGGTCGATATACTTTTTTTACATATTTTGATCGAAAAAATCAAATTTTAAAAAATAACAAAAGCACAAGCCATATATTTGATATTATACCTGTACATTTTATTCTTAAAATATGGTAATTGACATATTGATTTGTTAACAGTTAAATCATCTCGGTCAAAAATTTAAAAATTAATTAATAGCAAAATAATAAAATAATAATAAAAAAAAGTTTTCAATGGATTAATACGAGAGGAAGGTTGTTTGGTAATTATGATGTGGATAATCTCTTAGACGGAATCCATTCGAAGGAGTGATTAGTGGCTTAAAATTTCATTGAGTTTGTCGGTGATTGGTCAAAATTTGGATAAACCCGAATAAATAAAAAGGAACCAAAGGAAAAGGAAAAATTACACTAGTTATGAAAAGTTGATTTGTAGTTTCTTTTTATCATTGGTGTCTGAATCGTATTATTATTTTTTGGTTTATAACTTTTTTATGAATAATTTATGTATGGTTTTATTCTGACAATCATATTTTTATTTTTATAATTTTTTTCAGAAAGTATTATAAATACGTAAAACAACCTAGAAAATACCACGTTCAGAAATTATATATCTATCTTGTTCGCTTAGCATGAGTTTCGAAATTTCAGAATTATGAAACTTATACAAAAATTAATTGGACCAAAATTACAAGTTTTGAATAAAAGATGTCGATGGAAAATCTTGACTATTGAATATAATTACGCATGCAACTAATAGCATATATATAATTGTAGGCAAAATTGTTAGTAGAGCTCTTTTCATTTCCTCCTTTTTAAATTACACACATATCATTATAATAATATTTTTTATATTTTAATTAATAATGCACTATTCAGTCCTATCTACAATCACCCTTCATTTTTTTTTTTGAAAATTCAAATTTTTTACATGATTTCAGCATAATTTAAGTTAAGTTGGGCCCTTGACTTTTGCCCAATATTTTTTCAGTTACACATAAATTCAACAC